AAATCCATCACACTCAGAAGCAAAGCCTTACTCCTAACACTCAGGTGCCTGGAATCTACAATGAGATTCAGTTATCGGGCTTCAGACCACCCCAGAGGCCATTTGGAAGGGCTTGACTGCCACCTTGTGGTCCCCTGTGTACTACCAGCCAAGGCGAGGGCCTGCACAGCGAGAAACTGAGCAAACGGCCCTAACCCGCTTCTGTTTTGACAAGAATGGCTATAACATCTTTTGACATGCCCCAGTAAGCTGGAAGAGAACAAAGGTATTAAAGTATTCTGGCAACAGCCCCTGCTTGGGAGCAGGTTATTTTAAACAGTTGGCTTCTCCAGGGCAATCATACCTGAGTTGATTTGCATATATGCTCCTAGTTTAGAAAAAGCAAATATTTTCCATATTTTCTCTCTACTGACTAGGTTTCAAAAAAGAACTATTTTGGGCCAGGTGTAGTGGCTCACACCTGTAATCCATGCATTCTGGGAGGCCGAGGCCAGAGGATCTCTTCAGCTCAGAATTTGAGACCAGACTGGGCAACATAGTGAGACCCTCTCTCAACAAAAAATGAAAAATTATCCAGGTCTGGTAGTGCATACCTGTATTCCTAGCTACTCAGGAAGCTGAGGCAGGAAGATCACTTGAGCCCAAGAGCTTGAAGCTACAGTGACCTATGATGGCACTGCCACACTCCAGCCTGGGTGACAGAGGGAGACCTGTCTGAAAATAAACTAAAAAACAAAACAAAAAAATAGTTTTGTAAGCAAAAAGAGTCCCAACTCTAGGACTGTTTTCTCCATGTTCTATACCCCCCAACTAGTATCTCCCTTCTCTTTCCTTTTCTTCTTCTCTCCCTCCTTCCCTCCCTTCTTTCCTCCCTCTTTTTTCCTCCCCAACTTCCTTCCTTCCTACATGACATGTAAACATCCCTATCTAACTCAAAATTCCTTGACAAAGAAAGCCCTATATCCGATCCATCTGGTACTGGCTGTGTGACTTTGGGCAAGTTAAACATCTTAGCAGAATGATTTTTATGTTTTTAAGATTGCAGGAGAGGGGCAACAAATAGTAATATGCAACAGGGACCATATGTGGCTCACAAAGCCTGAAATATTCACTATCAGCCCTGTACAGTGTGCTGACCCGTCCCTTAGACTTCTACAATGTGAAGTACACGGTGTCAACTATAAATATTCCTTAAAAATAGACATCAAATCTGCATCTTTTTTCTTTTTTTGAGATAGTTTTGCTCTTGTTGCCCAGGCTGGAGTACAATGGCGTGATCTTGGCTCACAGCAATCTCTGCCTGCCAGGTTCAAGCGATTCTCCTGCCTCAGCCTCCCGAATAGCTGGGATTACAGGGAAACACCACCATGCCTGGCTCATTTCATATTTTTAGTAGAGATGGGGTTTCTCCATGTTGGTCAGGCTGGTCTCGAACTCCCAACCTCATGTGATCTGCCCAACTCATCCTCCCAAAGTGCTGGGATTACAGGTGTGAGCCACCACGCCCTGCCTCAAATCTGAATCTTAAGGAGACTTTAGATCTGACTTTCAATTGACAGGAAGCAGGAGGGAGAATAGGACAAGCTAAACGGCACTACTCTTACCCGCTGGTGAACACGCCGCTGAACTCCCTTCAGACTGAAGCACTCAGTCCCCATGTTGCTTAGAATGTGGCCACTGATGGGTCACAGCTGAGCTCCTCACCAGGCCTTGCCCTCAGCTGAAGGGAGTGGCCTTGTTAAGACCCCATGCCTCCCTGGGATAGCCCGTCTTCGAACTTGTTATGTGTGTTTCTTGCCTCATTTGGGGACCTCACTAAAGGATCACTCCCGCTCTACAGTGCCCCGCTGAGGGCTCACCTGGCATTGCCCCTCAATTTCTCCCTCTGCCCAAGCCTGGACCCCCTCACATCTTCATAAGGGTTGAACATGAGAACCTCCCCCACAAAAAAACTATCTGCAGTCAAATCTTCATCCCAGAGTCTGTTTTCCAGAGAACATGACCTAACACATCCCTCCATATCCTAGTCTCAGCCTAACAGCTAGAGTTAGCATGTTAGAGGTAAGGCAGGTCTTTACTCAGATCCCTTCAATGGCTTCCATCTCATCAGAGCCTTGTTGTCTGCACTGCTGTTGCAGTATCTCTTGACTTCACCTCCTACTCCTCTGCCCCTTGATCACACCAGCCACACTGGCTTCCTTGGTGTTCCTCAAACATACCAGGCATGCTGCTGCCTCAGGACCTTTGCACATGCTCTTCTAGCTGCCTGGAATGCTCCTTGTCCAGTTACCATCTGCATAACTCTATCAGTCACCTCCTTCTAGTCTTGAGTCAATGAAGACCTCCCTGACCCCCTACTTAAGTGTGCAGGACTCCACCCCACCCGACTCCACATCCCTCTTTCTTTGGTTTTCTCCATAGCATGTATCAGGATCTGGCACACTGTACATCTTATTTATGTTGTTTAATGTCTGTCTCCACAGAATGTAAGCTTCATGAGGGCAAGAGCTTTTATCTATTCTTTTCATTGCTATATTCCCAGAACTCAGAATAGTAACTGATACAAAGTTGCAGCCCAAGCAATATTTATTGAATAAGCAAGTAAATAAACGAACGGAAGTTTGTGAATGTGGCGTCAGAAGGCTTGCGATCTTCAGGCAAGTCCCATAACTTCCCTAAAGTGGAGTGGAAGACTTCCCTAAATGAACGGAAGACTGTGAATGTGGAATCTGAAAGCTTAGGAACCATCATTCTTATGTCATTTTGGTAATGATTATACAATGTAACATTTATAGAAGCGTCATACAATAAATTGCTAAATAAAAGATATTTTTTGCTCAAATTGAATTGTTCATCAGAGATGTACTTAATTTTTATAAGCTAAGAGCTACCAGACTGCCAAAAAAGCAAGCATGGAAACATTCCGACACAGAAAACCTTAAAAATGGTTCTGATATTCAAATAAAATATAAAACAATTTATTCCAAAGCCATACCCAAAACATACAATGAAATGCATCCCTTTTAAAGACATAATAAAAAGAGCAATCTTTACAATTTACAATTTGAAGACCTCTTGTTCCCACAAAAAGTCTCATAAAGTTAATTCCATAAAGTGTCAAATGTACTTTTGTTTATATAAAATGTATTCTCTCTTTAAATGCAAAATATTCAAATATAGCAGTTTTATTATGAAATTGTTCTCAATTTCTGAAATTTTCACTGGTCTATTGCATCCCATTTCCACATGCTTCTTAAAATGAGGTAAGAAGACCAATGTGAAACCTTTTTTTTTTTCTCAGATCATTTTTCAGACGTCAGTGTCTTGCTCTCACAAAGTACAACATGCCTTTGTCATTCCTTTCATCTGAAATATTTTCCCAGTGGTTACTCAGTATTTTGCACAGTTGCAATACCTGTCATTTAAAAATTCATAACATGTTGATTTTATATTCTTTTTATACGATTTTAAGATCTGAATCAAAGCTATTGCTACAGTGATTCACTATTTTCTTTACAGGTATTTTAATAAATAGTCCTCAATTCTAAAAGACTTTTTAAATCCTTTAAAGTGGGGGGTCAGCAAACATCTTCTGTAAAGGTACAGGTATTTTGTGTGTCATTTTTCTGATACATGTTTTTCCAACTCTAAAATGTTTTTAAAAATTTAGCTATGCTGTAATTTTCTACGCCCCCTACTTTAAAAAATAGAAGTAACAAGTCTCTAAATTGGACTGCTCAAGTGTCAATAAAATGTAAACTTCACATTGTGCAGTAAAATAAATCCATGGTTTCTGACTACTAAATTCAAAGTTCATAATCAGTAAGAAATGAATCCCATTCAAAGAGTGGGGCTACATATTCTTTTTAATCAATGACACTTTCTTATGGCTTCTTTTTCTTTTTGATTGAACAAGCCAAACGTCTTTGTTTTTTCTTGGTCTTACTTTTTCATAGGGAAGAATTCTCTTCGTGAGGCTAACTCGAAGTTTTTGAAATCAAAGACTTGAATACTTTCATGCCGACAGAGGTAGATGCATACGCACTGGTATAGGCAATTACAAATACATAAAATGGAAAACATTTTCATATATAAATTAATCATTAAATGCTCTCCATGGCCTAGAAGGAATCAGTGGAAACCAGACAGAAGTTATGCAAAACAGTCCTACAGAATGTTCTAATTTGCTTTTATCACATGTAGTTGCTACATTTTAGGAAAACATAATTTGAATATGAAACATGTAAATATAAATAAATATAGTGGCATGATTGATTCAGGTTCTTGATGCATACTACCTGGAGCTGACTAAACTCTGATCTATGTAACATGGTCCTATAGCTTGGTACTGAGAATCACAACTCTGTGTGTGTATGTATGTGTGTGTTTGTGTGTGTGTGTGTGTTTTGCATGTTTTCCTTTTCTACCACAATCAGTGCTACAACCAGATTATGAAAAATAAAAGAGCAGCTGTAAATTTACCCAAATATATCATAAACAAGTTGGAATACTCTGGAATTACAATCATATAATATTCTACAAAAACATTTACAAATTCTAAAGCTGAAAAAGTTGAAAACTTTGGTATCCCTAAAAAGAGAAAGTTCAAGTCCATCCATGGTGGCTCACACCTGTAATCCCAGCACTTTGGGAGGCCAAGGTGGGAGGATCTCTTGAGCCCAGAGTTTGAGATCACCCTGGCCAACATGGTGCAACACTGTCTCTACCAAAAATACAAAAATTAGCTGGGCTTGATGTTGCACGCCTGTAATTCCAGCTACTTAGGAGGCTGAAGCACAAGAACTTGAACCCAGGAGGTGGAGGTTGCAGTGAGCTGAAATCCTGCCACTGCACTCCAGCCTAGGTGACAGAGTGAGACTGTCTCAAAAA